GGTTTCACCATGTTGGCAAGGCTGGTCTCAAACTCCTGACCTGAGGTGATCCTCCCACCTTGGCCTTCCAAAGAGCTGAGGTTACAGGCATGAACCATCATGTCCAGCTGGGTAGTTAGTCTTACATCAGACAAAACAAACTTTAAGGCAACAGTGGTTAAAAAAAACAAAGAGGGGCAGTATATAATGGGTAAAGGCCTTGTCTAACAGGAAAATATCACAGCCCTAAACATATATGCACCTAACACTGGACATCCTAAATTTATAAAACAATTACTATTTAGGCCTAAGAAATGAGATAGACAGCAACACAGTAATAGTGGAGGACTTCAATACTCCACTGACAGCATTAGACAGGTCATCAAGACAGAAAGTCAAAGAAACGATGGATTTAAACCATATCTTGGAACAAATGGACTTATGGATACATATAGAACATTTCATCTAACCACCACAGAATACACATTCTATTCAACAGTGCATGGAACTTTCTCCAAGATAGACCATGATAGGCCATAAAATGAGCCTCAATAAATTTAAGAAAATTGAAATTATATCAAGCAGTCTCTCAGACCACAGTGGGATAAAACTGGAAATCAACTCCAAAAGGAACATTCAAAACTATGCAAATACATGGAATTTAAATAACCTGCTCTTGAATGAGCATTGGGAAAAAAACGAAATCAAGATGAAAATTAAAAAATTCTTCGAATTGAATGACAATAATGACACAACCTATCAAAACCTCTGGGATGCAAAGGCAGTGCTAAGAAGAAAGTTCCTAGTCCTAAATGCCTACATCAAAACGTCTGAAAGATCACAAACAGAAAATCTAAGGTCATACCTCAAGGCAATAGAGAAACAAGAACAAACCAAATGTAAACTCAGCAGAAGAAAGAAAATAACCAAGATCAGAGAAGAACTAAATGAAATTGAAACAAAAAAAATTACAAAAATAAATGAAACAAAAACTGGTTCTTTGAAAAGATAAATAAAATTGACAGACCATTAGCAAGATTAACCAAGAAAAGAAGAGAGAAAATTCAAATAACCTCACCAAGAAATGAAATAGGAGATATTACAACTGACACCACTGAAATACAAAAGATCATTCAAGGCTACTATGAACACCTTTATACACATAAACTAGAAAATCTAGAAGAGAATGGCAAATTCCTGGAAAAATACAACCCTCCTAGCTTAAATTAGGAAGAATTAGATACCTTGAACAGACCAGTAACAAGCAATGAGATTGAAATGGTAATTTAAAAATTACCAACAAAAAAACGTCCAGGACCATATGGATTCACAGCAGAATTCTACAAGACCTTCAGTGAAAAGTTGTTACCAATCTTTTTGACACTATGCCATGAGACAGAGAAAGAAGGAACCCTCTCTAATTTATTCTATGAAGCCAGCATCACCCTAATACCCAAACCAGGAAAGGACATAACCAAAAAAGAAAACTAGAATTGATACCCTCGATCAACACAGATGTTAAAATACTTAACAAAACACTACCTAACCAAATCCAACAACTATCAAAAAGACAATCCACCATGATCAAGTGGGTTTCATACCAGGGATGCAGGGATGGTTTAATATACATAAGTCAATATACATGATATATCATATAAACAGAATTAAAAACCACAAATCACACGATCATCTCAATAGATAGTGCAGGCAAAGCACTGGACAAAATCTAGCATCCATTTATGATTAAAACTCTGAGCCAGGCTGGGCACAGTAGCTCACGCCTGGAATCCCAGCACTTTGGGAAGCTAAGGCAAGCGGATCATGAGGTTGAGAGTTAGAGACTAGCTTGACCCACATGGTGAAACCCTGTATCTACAAAAAATACAAAAATTAGCCAGGTATGGTGGCACGTGCCTGTAATCCCAGCTACTTGGGAAGCTGAGGCAGGAGAATCGCTTGAACCCAGGAGATGAAGGTTGTGGTGAGCCAAGATCGTGCCATTGCACTCCAGCCTGGGCAACAAGAGCGAAACTGTCTCAAAACAACAACAACAAAAACTTTCAGCTAAATTAACATGCAAACATAATACTGAATGGGGAAAAGATGAAAGCATTCCCTTTGAGAACTGCAACAAGGATGCCCACTCTTACCACTCCTCTTCAACATAGCACTGGAAGTCCTAGCCAGAACAATCAGACAAGAGAAAGAAATAAAGGGCATCCAAATAGTAAAGAAGAAGTCGAACTGTCACTGTTTGCTGATGATATGATCGTTTACCTTGAAAACCCTAAGGACTCCTCTAGAAAGCTCCTAGAACTTATAAAATAATTCAGCAAAGTTTCCAGATATGAGATTAATGTACACAAATCAGGAGCTTTTTGATAAACCAACAGCAACCAAGCGGAGAATCAAATCAAGAACTCAACCCCTTTACAATAGCTGCTAAAAATTAAAATACTTAGTAATATACCTAACAAAGGAGTTTAAAGATCTCTACAAGGAAAACCACAAAATACTGCTGAAAGAAATCATAGATGATGCAAACAAATGGAAACACATCCCATGCTCATGGATGGATAGAATCGATATTGTGTAAATAACCATTCCACTAAAAGCAATGTACAAATTCAATGTAATTCCCATCAGAATACCATCATCATTCTTCACAGAATCAGAAAAAACAATTCTAAAATTCATATGGCACCAAAAAAGAGCCTGCATAACAAAGCAAGACTAAGCAAAAAGAACAAATCTGGAGGCATCACACTACCTGATTTCAAACTTCACTATAAGGCCATAGTCACCAAAACAGCATGGTACTGCTATAAAAATAGGCACAGAGACCAATGGAACAGAACAGAGAACGCAGAAATAAACCCAAATACTTATAGCCAACTGATCTTCGATAAAGCAAACAAAAACATAAAGTGGGGAAAGGACGTACTTTTCAACAAATGGTGCTGGGATAATTGGCTAGCCACATGGAGGAGAATGAAACTGGATCCTCATCTCTCACCTTACATAAAAATTAACTCAAGATGGATTAAGGACTTAAATCCAAGACCTGAAACTATAAAAATTCTAGAACAATGGAAAATTCCTTCTAGATACTGGCTTAGGCAAGGATTTCATGACCAAGAACCCAAAAGCAAGTGCAATAAAAACAAGATAAATAACTGGGACCTAATTAAACTAAAGAGCTTTTGCACAGCAAAAGGAACAGTCAACAGAGTAAACAGACAACGCACAGGGCAGGAGAAAATGTTCACAATCTACATCTGACAAAGGACTAATACGCAGAATCTATAACAAACTCAAACAAATCAGTAAGGAAAAATCCCATCTAAAAGCAGGCTAAGGACATGAATAGAAAATTCTCAAAAGAAGATATACAAATGGCCAACAAATATATGAAAAAATGCTCAACATCACTAATGATCAGGGAAATGCAAATCCAAACCACAATGCAATACCACCTTACTCCTGCAAGAATGGCCATAATCAAAAAATCAAAAACAGTAGTCACTGGTGTGGATACAGTGAACAGGGAACACTGACGGGAATGTAAACTAGTAAAGCTACTATGGAAAACAGTATGGAGATTCCTTAAAGAACTAAAAGTAGAACGACTATTTGATCCAGCAATCACACTACTGGGTATTTATCCAGAGGAAAAGAAGTCATTATTCGAAACAGATACTTGCACATGCATGCTTACAGCAGCACAATTCACAATTGCAAAATCATGGAACTAACCCAAATGCCCATCGATGAATGAGTGGATTAAGAAATGGATCCACTCATTGATTGATGGGCATTTGGGTTAGTTCCATGATGTGTTACATTACACACACACACACACACACAAATATATATATGTGTGTGTATATATGTATATGTAATGTAATATACATGTATTTAATGTAACATATTTATATGTGTGTATGTGTATATATACACACATGTATATTTATATGTGTGTAATGTCATATATATATATGATGGAATACTATGCAGCCAGGAAAATGAATGAATTAATAGCATTTGTAGTGACTTGGATGAGATTGGAGACTATTATTCTAAGTGATGTAACTCAGGAATGGAAAATCAAACATGTATGTTCTCACTGATATGTGGGAACTAAGCTACGAGGATGCAAAGGCATAAGAATGATACAGTGGACTTTGGGGACTTGGGGGAAAGAGTGGGAGGGAGGCAAGGGATAAAAGACTATAAATATGGTGCAGTGCATACTTCTCGGGTATTGGGTACACCCAAATCTCACAAAGCACCGTGAAAGAACTTACTCATGTAAACCACCTGTATCCCAATAACGTATGGCAAAATAAATAAATTAATAAAATTAATGACTGTCTAAATAAATATACTTACTTACATTTTTGAATAGTTGCTCAGCAAGTTCTCTGACATGCTTTATCATCTTCACTGGGTTACTTTCTTCAACTTTAATTCTCTCTACTTCAAAGGCTACCAACTAGGAAAAATAATCAAATGGCAAAACATCAATTCCAAAATATGCCAAATTCAAAAGCTGTGATAATTTCATACAATTTGCAAGCCGAAAAAATCCAACATATACATTATTTCAAAAACGAAATATTTTAGGTTTTGGGGTTTCACCTCCATTCTGGGGTTACAGAGTCAAGCAAACTCTTGAATTGTCTAGTGGTCCCTCCCTGAGGATTTGGGGCCCTATTTCTTCTAGGGAAAGGTCATTTCTGGAACTCAGAAAGACCCTGTCATTCCACAGACCTCAGTCAGAGAAATTCAGACAGTCAGAAAGTGTCTAACACTTTCTTAACTCACAAAACATGAACCAAATGTTCAAGTCATGATGCTCAGACTATAGTCCTAGCTGTGCTAACAATGTGAGCTGGGACTAGTCACTTAAACTCCTGAGCTTCAGTTTTCTCATCTCTAAACTAAGATGGAAGAACTAGGTGACCTTTAGATACCTTCTAGTTCTCAAATTATATATATTCTAGTACATCTCTCTATTAACTAATTTATTGGGAGAACTGTGTGAGTCTGTATACTTAGGGTAAAGAAAAGAAGGCTGACAGGAAAAAAAATTGTGGGAGGATAAATAGATGGATGATAAAAATAAAAAGGTACAACATAGAATTATTCTAGGAACTAACAGATTGACTGCATAGGCATATAAGACTACGGCTTACCTATTCTAGGCTAGGACTCAGAAAGATTGTCAAAGGCAAACAGTCTTTTCATTCTAAGATGTCTAGTTGATGGGAGTGTGAGAACAAGGCCTTGTACATTGCAAGTTGCCTCTCAAAGCCCCTATAACACCCCATTGTGGTAGGCTGCCCTAGGCTAAGTGAAAACAAGAATCAATTTCCCTGGAGCAAATGTTATTTTCGTACCAAAGCATTCCCATGCAAATGACCAAAGAAGGTAGGATGAGAAATTATTTAGTTGTGATGCCTCACTTTTCTTAGGCTCTTGACCAATATATACATATGATTAACTGGCTATCAAGTAACATCAGTAAGGTCACCACTGTAGGCTCAACAGAAAACTGGATGAACACTAAGGGGTGACCCAATAGGAACTTTAGACAGAATTCTTGCCTTATCATCATTTCCGATCTAGAGTATACATGTATAAAAAATAAATAAAAAATAAGTTACCATACAGAGACATAAAATGAAGCCTAATGCAGTTCAGTGACTCTCAGAGTAAACTACTTTGGGAGAGTTTGGAAGAGGTGGCAAGATAAGAGCAGAGTATGAAGAACAGAGGGGGCACCCCAAGCAAGGGAAAGACCTACAAAAATAGAGGCTGTGGCAAGCAAGTTTTCTGCAAGTAATTAATTTCACTTTTTAGTTGTGATGAAGCTACCAGAGGGAGTATGAGAAATCTGAATAGAAAAGAAAAGAGTATATAAACCAATGTTACTATTCATAAAGCTTCAAAGACTAATAAAATGTAGGAGCTAGAAAAGACCTTGGAGAGCATCTATTTTAATCTCATAAAATATTATGTTATGAATTAGTACAGAATCTAAAGGCTAATAAATGTTAGTAGAATCAATAATCAATCATATTATATGGCTGTATTAGAGAATCAATGACCAATAATTGATTAGAAAAAATTGTCCACCTCGGTCGGGCACAGTGGCTCATGCCTGTAATCCCAGCACTTTGGGAGGCAGAGACAGGTGGATCAATGAGGTCAGGAGATCAAGACCTCCTGATCAACATGGTGAAACCCCATCTCTACTAAAACAATAAAAAAAAAATTAGCTGGGCGTGCTGGTGTATGCCTGTAGTCCCAGCTACTCAGGAGGCTGAAGGAGGAAAATTGCTTGAACCCGGGAGGGAGAGGCTGCAGCGAGTCAAGATTGTCCCACTGTACTCCAGCCTGGCGACAGAGTGAGACACCATCTCAAAAAAAAGAAAAAATTGTCCACCTCAGAATGTCTCCTAAATCCTCACATGCTTTGTGTTCTCAATTAAAGCATCTGATGCAGTAAACATTCTACACAGAACTAAAACATGTGCCTCTTCTTTAATTCTTACCTGTGAATACTTCACTATCTTTACAAAAAATAGAAGATCTTTCTCCTCTGAACCAAAGATATTTAAGATCCTGATTCCTACCTTCTCTATATAAAATAAAATTACCAGAAGCAAAACATGACCACTATTACTGTTCTCCATTATCTTGGGTTCTAGGAGTATTTGTTCTTTTATAGACTTCAAGGAACTTTTTAGATTTTTGGTTCTAATACAGTACTCTTTAAAAAATTGAAATGAGAATAATATTCTTGTTCTATCCAGCAGAATGGGCTGCTGTGACTAACAAGTTAAATGATAAATGAAGAGATGCTTAAAAAAAAAAAGAACAATAAATGCAAAACAGCCTCCTTATTTTGAGTCGTATCTGCCCTATTTCTCCCTCTCTATGGCTAATTCCTTGAAGATAGAGACAAAAATCTGTTTTCCATGTATTTGATGTCTCCTAAGAGAGGTAGAGAAATGCTGACAACTGGTTAGTAAGAATGCCAAGAGGCCAGGGGCGGTGGCTCATGCCTGTAATCCCAGCACTTTGGGAGGCCAAGGCGGGCGGATCACAAGGTCAAGTGAACGAGACCATCCTGGCCAACATGGTGAAAACCCTGTCTCTACAAAAAATACAAAAAACAATTAGCTGGGTGTGGTGGTGCACACCGGTAGTCCCAGCTATTCAGGAGGCTGAAATAGGAGAATTGCTTGAACCTGGGAGGCAGAGGTTGTTCTGAGTTAAGATCACACCACTGCATTCCAGTCTGGCACCTGGTGACAGAGTGAGACTCTGTCTCAAAAAAAAAAAAAAAAAAAAAAGAAAAGCCAAGAAGTTAAACTATGGCTCTATGACTCTGACAGACTAAATGTAACTCCAATTTGAAGTAATTTCAGCTATCTTAGCTTCAAATTAGACCTTTCTCCCTCTAAGACTAACAAAAGAACTACTGCATTAGTGCCCTTAAAAACAAGAATTCTATTTACACAATCACTGTGAAATAAAAAAGATTTTAATCAATTATTTTTTAAAATTTAATATTTTTTAATATGAATACCATTTGGAGTATGAGTGGTTTTCAGTTACATGGATGAATTACATAGTGGTGAATTCTGAGATTTTGGTGTACCCATCACCTGAGTGGTGTACATTGTTCAATTATTTAAAATTCAGTTGTTCAAAAATTATATGTACTTCCAAGGCATCTTATAATTATTTTTTTCTAATTTTTATAATCCACATTAAAATATTGAGATTTGATAAGCATAATAATATTGGGATTATTTAATACTTAATTTATATTTGACTATGTAAATATGAAAAATATTACTTTTTTACTTTTAACTACTAGTCTAATTATGGGTATAAATAATGCCTTCATTTAATAAGAACTATACCTCATCAAAGAGATCACAAGATCTATAAGGAGGACCTCTTTCTGAAACAAAACCTGCAAATGCCATTCCATTGAGTACTTTAGTGAGGAAATCATTCTCGACCAAACCACGCTGCCCCAAGAATGCTGTCTGTAAAAAAAAAGAAAATGTGAAATAACAATTTATCACTTGGCAATGGACAAATGATCAAAACAAAAATATAATAAAAACATCAAAGCCTATATAAATTCCTTCATGTATAAATATGTATTATCATAAACATATTTCTCTCAAAGAGAGTTATTCTGAAATACTACATGTACTGAAAGAATAAAAATGAATCTGTCTACAAGGAGGAAAAATCAGAAACTGACACTCAATTTTAAAAGAAAAACTGATTTAAAGTTAACATATTCTAATGGGAGACATTATGCGAGTTCCACATTATTATTAAGAACTGATATCTAACCACACAAAGCAGAAATTTTAAATAACCACATTTGATAAATCAAGGTCAAAATAAATGACCAGGAAAAAAAACAAGTAGTTTTATTAAATTAGAATATATTTTTTGGACAGATACAATACAGCACTCTATCTTACTTTGTGGAAATGTATTACTGGCTCTGCATGAATTCTTATAAGTTGCAGGCAGGATCTATATCCTTGGAAGAGTTGTGCAAATAATCTAAGGAAAACTGCTCGCACTTCTTTATCCTAAAAATGTCAGAAGAAATGTTAGGTAATTTAAATTTTTAAAAACAAATGAAATATCATTGAGTCAAAAAGATGAAAAGGCATATATCCCAAGTCCTCTGATTTTTATATCCACCAAAACAATTACAGTCACAACCAAATAAAAGACAAATATAAGAAGAAAAAACTCTCATGATTGTATTTTGAAAGCTTATGAAATTTTTCCAAACTTATAAATATCTATTCTTATATGAATAAGGTATGACTTTGAAATCTGGTTTGATAATCCAGCTTTTACTGGAATCACAGTCTAGAATTATAAGGAAACTTGTTAGTCAATTCCTTACTTAATTGATCAGGAAATGAAGGTCAAGAATGCTTAAGTATTTGTGTTTAGCACCGTGAGGTTCCTTAAAAGCACACTGCTAAGAAATGTTCTAAGCAAAATAAAAAGGGGGCCTCTGTTACGGCTTCTAATTTGAACTATTTTCATCCACAAACTCCTCAAACTTGATTTTCTCCTATCACCAGCATTCTTTGTATCCATTTTTGTAAGCATCTCCTTTGTTTTTAATCCTTGCCTGATCTTTTCAATTTGATGCATGGCACAGTTTTCCAGGCTATAATCTAGGTTCTGATTTTCTGTCCTACACTTACTCATCCTCCCTCAGAGCAGCAGTTTAATCCCTAGTGGCCGCTTGCCCAGTGCCCTTCCCTGTGGCTCCTTCTTGAACAGGACATTAAGGACAGTCTCCTAATTTCTAATTTGGGGCACTTTTTACTCTGCTGTCCATCTAACTCTAACTTCACTTAGCTTCTTTAATAACCCTACAAATAAAAGTACAGCTTTCTTAAACAGCATTGAATTTAAATGTTAAACTTCTTACCAGCATTTTTGAGTGGGATAAAGCTGTTCGTGGAGGAGGAAAAGCATGATCTGCTACTTCCAAATCTGGGTGTAAAATCTAAAGCAAAAAAGTTTCGTTATGTAAAATGTCATAATATCAATGAAATCTATTATTGGGGCATTAAGATGAAAATATCAGCATATGAATTATAATATATTACTTCCATGAATACAATTCAATTAGCTGGGGTAGCTCTATATGTACTATTGTAGAAACATATTTAGTTGAAAAGACAACATATTCAGTTGAAAACACGTTCTAGAAAAACATACGTAGTATGGCCTAATTTATTTGAAAATAAAATAAACTCTAAATCTATATATGTACATACATTGATGTATATATAAATGAGAATGAAAAGTTCTGGAAAAAAAATACACTGAACTATAAAATAGATGTCTCCGGGACCAGGCGCGGTGGCTCACGCCTGTAATCCCAGCACTTTGGGAGGCCAAGGCGGGTGGATCACGAGGTCAAGAGATGGAGACCATCTTGGTCAACATGGTGAAACCCCGTCTCTACTAAAAATACAAAAAATTAGCTGGGCATGGTGGCGCGTGCCTGTAATCCCAGCTACTCCAGAGACTGAGGCAGGAGAACTGCCTGAACCCAGGAGGCGGAGGTTGCGGTGAGCCGAGATCGCGCCATTGCACTCCAGCCTGGGTAACAAAAGCGAAACTCTGTTTCAAAAAAAAAAAAAAATAGATGTCTCTGGGAAGAGAATAATCTATGTCAGAGCTATTTGTTTATACAGTTGAATTTTTAAAAACAGCTATTTGTTTTTATGTTTCTAAGTGTAATTTAAAATTACTGAGCAGAGGCAAGGTGTGGTGGCTTATGCCTATAATCGCAGCACTTGGGAGGCTGAGGTGGGCGGATCACAAGGTCAGGAGTTCGAGACCAGCCTGGCCAATATGGTGAAATCCCATCTCTACTAAAACTACAAAAATTAGCTGGGTGTGGTGGCGGGCGCTTTTAGTCTCAGCTACTCAGGAGGCTGAGTCAGGAGATTCACTTGAACCTGGGAGGCAGAGGTTGCAGTAAGCCAATATCATGCCACTGCACTCCAGCCTGGGCAACAGAGCAAGACTCCATCTCAAAA